GGATGAGTGCAGCATGCGCCGGCGCAGGTCAACAGTACAAGCATCCACGCAAATCGTCGTGTGTGTATGCAGGGAGATGTACTTGATTGCATGTCCACCCACAAGTGAGCACACACGAGTGAACACACACACACACACAACTACACACATACACACACACACAAGTACACACATACACACACATACACACCCCAACCTTGATGCGCGTGGATGGGGAAGTGAGTTCGTCGAAGCGAACTGAATAGCCCACAAGCTTGCCAACCTTGGAGCTGCGCTCCCAGGCGACACGCTGGGCCACGGTGATGGCGGCAACACGGCGAGGCTGCGTGATGGCGATGGCGCCGTACCGCCGCTTGCCATGCTTGTCTTTGTAAGCATTGATCTGATCCTCATACAGGTACTGGGGCAGTTGCGTGGTCTTGCCACTGCCCGTCTCACCAATGACAATGTTGAACTGCTGCTGCTTGATCATCTTCATCAGGGATGGCCGTGCGTTGAAGATGGGCAAGTCCTCCCGCAGTTTCCCAATCTCCTCTGCACTCATCTCTTTCTTCCCCGCATCACTGTTTCCACTGCTGCCACTACCCTTGTCAGCGTCACTGCCTCTGTTGCCTGTCTTGGTGCCTTTGTCCTTGAATTCCACCACCTTCTTCACCTTCTCTTTTGTTTTTGCCGTGTGTCTCCCACCGCTGCCACCGTGCTTTGCGCGCTTGTGTGCCAGCTCCCCACCACCTCCGCTTCCACCATCGCCACGCCCTGTCATCATCATCATCGTCGCTGTGGTTTGTGGTTGCTGTTGTTGTGGTTCGTTTGTGCGTGTCCGGATGACCTGATGTGTGTGATGTGAGATATGACCCTTCCGTGCAATTCTCCGATTCCTCGGCGCCACGCTGCGCATTATGCCCCCATATCGTGCATATCCACCACATGTGTGTCGTGGCCCGCCTTTTTTTTGCCTTCTTCTTTCTCTTGTCGCCGACCACGCGTGCTGTTGCTCTCATTTCCCGCTTCTTGTTCCTCTTGTCGCGTGTGCGTGTGTGTTTTTGTTTGCAGGTGAACGTTTGTTTGTTCGATCCCCACAACTAACCCCCCAAGATGAGTGAGGCAGCCGTCGTGATTGTGAAGCAGCCCGACAGCGAAGAGCTTGTCGAGGTCCCCGTGGACCAGGTGTGTGTGAGGGGTGTGCGTGCGTGTGTGTGTGTGTGTGTGTGTGAGGGGTGTTGGTGGAGTAATGAGAACGATACGGAGTTTGCTGTCTGTCACACACGAAGCATGACACGTGGTCAGATGATGATGTGTGTGTGTGCGTGTGTGCGATCGGAGATCAACACGTCTCTGTGGATGCCCCCCCCACCATGTTCCCTGCTGGCGTACTCTTTTTCTTTCAAGCAAGCCATGTTTTTTTCTTTCCCACTTCAATCATCTCACTACCGCCGCCATCACCATCACGATCACGACGATCATCATCTTGCTTGCTTGTTCGTTTTGTAGGATGGTTCCCTTCCTGTGGCCACGTTGGACTCGCAGTTTGCTGGTGCCACGGGTCTCAAGTTCAAGAACCCCGCCACGGGCGCGTACCGCGCCATCCGCGTCGAAGACGGGAAGTTGCTCCCGCCAAACCCTGAGGAGGGCTGGGGCACTACCGTCTACGAGGTCGTCGTTTCCGGTGAGTTGCAACAGCACAAGCGAAACGCCTCGTGTGATGATGTGTGTGTGTGTTGTGTTGTGTTGTGTGTTGTGTTTGCTTGCTCTATCTCTGTGCTGGCTCCAATCAATTCCCTCGTCCCTCTGTCTTCTGTTCTGGCCATGCCACCACCACCCGGCATTTCACCATGTTTCCACATATATTTCCTCCTCGCTCACCATCACGTGTGCACGCACTTTTTGTCCACCACCCTCAAACACATCAACCATCACCACCTTGTCACAGAAACAAGTAAGCGGCGTGCGGAGGAGGAGGAGCAGCCAAATAAGCGAGCGGCTGTCCGAGGGGATGAAGGTGATGATGGCCCCGAAGATGGAGAAGAGCGTTACGATCCACGCAAGCGTGACCGGACCGATGTCCCCTCAGGCGTTGCTTCTCAGCAGGAAGGCCGTCCCGCCGCAGAGGAAGGACAGCAGCCCGCCGGTGGCCGCACCTGCTACAAATGTGGCGGTGAGTCTCCTACTCTTGTGTGTGTCTGTATGTATGTATGTATGTTTGTATGTATGTGCATGTGTGAATGTATGCATGTATGTGCATGTGTGCGTGCGTATGTATGCATGTATGTGCATGTGTGCGTGCGTATGTATGTATGCATGTGCATGTGTGTGTGCGTGCGTGTGTGCGGACCCACTTGAAGCATGCCTTGGCACAGTTGCTCCCAAAGTTTCTGTACACGTGCGCACACAACTCACTCCCTTTCTCGCCCGCCTTCCTTGTCATCCTCGCCCCCCCCTTCCTTGTCTTTTTCGCGCTTTCTTTATCTTTAGGCCAGGGCCACATTGCCGTGATGTGCCCATCACCGGAGGGTGCCAAGGACAGCCCAAGCGAGTCTGAGTGCCACCTCTGCCACGGAAAGGGCCACTTCCAGGCCCGTTGCCCCAACACCGTCCCACGCAATGTGTGCTGGAAGTGCGGCATGTACGGCCACATTGGCAGGTGCGTTTCAAGCTACTTATTTTTTGTTTGGGGTCCTGTTGCCTTCATGCGATACACGAACAGACGTTTCATCCACCCACCCATGCGTGCAAACGAAACAAACAACACCAACAGCACACAACAAGAAGACCGAGAACAAAACCACTCTACAAACACGCACACTTCAACTTTGAGAGCAATGTGACAATGGCGTGCGCGTGTGTATGTGGTGTCCGTGTGTAGGGAGTGCGGCGGCGGCATGGGGTATGCAGGTTAGAGTGCAGAATCAACACACACATACCAAACACATGACAGCAAGCCTGTGTTGCTTGCACGTGTTTTCGGGCTGTCGTGATGGGAAGAGAAGGAGAGCTTTCACCCCACACAACCAGAAGGGGGTGTTTTCTGTCTGGTGTTGATCCTTTTGTTTTCCCTTTGTTGTGTTTGGATGGTTGACAACAACCCAACCGCTTTGTCTTTCTCTCTCTCTCTCTTTTTTTGTTGTGGCCGTGCGGTGCTGCTGCTGCGTGTGCGCTGGCTTACGCTGCCCCTGCTTCTGCTGTTTGTTGTCTCCTTGCTGTGACAGATCCTTATGCACCCCACGACCCCTACGGCCGTCCCCCATACTACGGCGGCGGCGGCGGCTTCGACCGTACCTGCTATGTGTGAGTACAGTGATGTATTTGCTTTGCGCGAAGACAGCACCGTTTACGCGGACCGTGTCTGCCGCGCGCGCGTGTGTGTTGAAATGTTGGCTGCGGGTCATCCATGTTGGCTGCGAGTCAAAATCGCCGACCCAAGCTGTTTCTTGTTTGCCAATTCCTTTGGCGTCTGCGTGTGTATGCATGTGTGTATGTGTACGAGTGCGTCTGTGTTTCTTCTCCTCCGAGCCCTTCCTCTTCCCCTCCGCCTCTTCTTTCCGTCCCCCCCCCCATCTCCCCTCCACCTCCCACGCATATTCTTAGCAGTACCCGTCTTCGTTTATTAGTCAAGCTGGGTACCTCCTGATATATGCAAGATTAACACTGGCAGTAGTTTGAGGAGCTGTGAGCTTCGTTCAGTGCTTACAATTCTATAGGTTATCTGCCGAAATTTCCTTCTCTCTTCCTTTTCTTCTCCTTTTCCCCCCTGCCATCTTTCGTTCTTACTACCTTTCTCCCCTCAATTTCTCCCCCCGCCAAGCTTTGCAAATACGAACTCATTGTTGTTCTATTCTAACCCATGTCTATGTCACACTGTTGGTGTGCTTGTGTTGTGCGTTTTGTCATTATTCAGGTGCGGTGAGCGCGGTCACCTCGCTGCCCGCTGCCCTCGCTCCACTTACAACGGCGAGAAGCTGTGCCACGTCTGCCGCAAGCCCGTAAGTGTGCATTTGTGTGTGTGTGTGTGTGTGTGTGTGTGTGTGTGTGTGTGTGTGTGTGTGTGTGTGTGTGTGTGTGTGGCTTCTACTGTGTTTCTCAGCTCGTGCCACTCGCTCATAGTTTGCGAATGCTTTCAATTCTCACTCGCCCTTGTTGCCGTGCGTTGTTGTTATCCTTCCTCTTCCTTCCCTCATGCACTAAATGTGCACGCTGCGTGTACGTTACAGGGCCACATTGCCCGTGACTGCAAGCTGTGCCGCATCTGCCTCGGTGAGGGTCACCGCTCGTACGACTGCCCGCACCGCGGCACCCACGGCGGCCACCACGGCGGCCATCACGGCGGTCATCACGGCGACTACTCTGGCGCCCCTGCCCGCGCATCTCCCGGCCAGCAGGGCTATGGCCAGGACCCCTACGGCTACTCGGCTTCGTCGTACTCGTACGGCCAGCCGCCCATGCCATCAGAGTACCAGTAGGCTGATTCATTGATGACACGCGCCCCCCTTTTTTTGTTCTCCCCTCTTTCTTCCCCAAGCAGACCCTTTGCCGCCTGTCTTGTAAGCAGAAGATGAGTGCGAGTTGAGAGAGGACGAGAGGATGAGGAGGAACCGAGCTGTAAGTGAACGAGGGGTGGTGTGAAGCGATGCGACGGTGGTGGTCGAGATGATGGAAGCAAGCGCGGCTGTTCACTGCCACGATGAAGATGGCGATGGAGACGGTGATGTGGATGTCGTTGCTATTGTTCGAGTTCATCTGTCTGTGTGTTTGTGTGCGTGTGTGTGTGGAGTGGACGTTGACATGGTGTGGGTGTCCTTTTCTGTTTAAGTGCCCCCTTTCCCCCTCCTTCCCCCCTTTGCTGTTGTGGAGTGATTGTGATTTGACCTGAGAGCGCGCCTCGCCACTCAAGCCGCCCGTGCAACGTTTTGTTTGTTCTCTTTTGCTTGCCGGGCTTGGCCTTTGGCCTTTGGTTCCCAGCGCCCCGTGTACGTGTGCGTCATTTTGTGTGCTGGTCGCTGTTTGAGTTTTGTGTTGCTCTTGTCGACTCGAAGTGCTTGCTTGTCTTTCTCGTGAGGCTGCGGGTTCTTCGCAAGTGAGGCGTGAGAGAGTTACTTGTGTGTACGTATCCAACAACAGCGCAACAACAGCCCTTAGTCCCTGTGTTGTGCATATCGTTTCATTCATCACAAATACAACGCATGTCAACAAATGGGCATCAAGTCAGTGCAATGAAGGAGGCAAAGCGTAGTTCCGAAGCAGGGCTTATGTCAACTCAAAGTATGGCTGCCAACACAGCAAGGCTCATGTCAACTCAAAGCAGCAAAAACACCCGCAATGCCCGCGACACTCTGCGAGCGCGATAGTGCGTAATCATGTCATGTCATGCCACGTCACTTTGCCGTGCGCGTGCTCGTAGCCAGCGGCGACGGCGTCGCGGGCTTGGTGCTGCCGCTGTTGCCACTGCTTGCAGTTGCTGGGGTTGTGCTTGCTGTGGTGGTGCTCGTGCCTGTGGCTGTTCTTCGGGACCGAGCGGCACTTGCGGGCCTTGACGTCGATCTGGGCTTCCTTGCTCTTGGGGCGGCGGGCTTGCTTGCCTTTGGCTGCGCCGATCGAGGCCGGGGTGGAGGGGTGGCGGTGGGGGTGGTCGGCGATGGCGACAGGGAGCAGTGCGAGGGCGCTTCTTTGGGCTGTTGTTGGTGCTGTTTTACGCTTGATGAAGAAGAAGAGGAGGAGGAGGAGGAAGAGGAGGTCAGAGTTGGTGCGGATGCGGTGCGAGGTTTCGCCCTGGATGATTGAGAGGTTGATGATGAGGATGGTGTTGCTGCTGTTGTCGTCTGCTTCTCTGCCGCACTCGTCATTGCTGTCGTCGTTGTTGATGCTGCTGCAGCTGCGCCGCGCTTGGCGCGCTTGGATGCGGGAGCGGTCAAGTGCTTCAGGTCGTCCAGGGTAAGCGTTGGCGGCAACCCCTTGAGCTGTCGCAGCTTCTGCTTTGCCAACATGAGATGCACCTCCAGGTTTCGCAGTCGCGATTTGAGGTATGCGGCGTGCTTTGCTGCAGGCTGCGCCAGCGTCACCTTGCTGATTTGATCGTCGTGTGCAGGAAACTCATACGCAGGGCGGTCTGTGTGAGTGTATGAGAGAGAGCATGAGAGACAGTGTGTGTGTGCGTGCGGGTGAATGAGTATAATGAGCATATGCGCGCGCGCGTGTGTGTGTGTGTGTGCGTGTGTGTGTGTGTGTGTGTGTGTGTGTGTGTGTGTGTGTGTGTGTGTGTGTGTGTGTGTGTGTGTGTGTGTGTGTGTGTGTGTGTGTGTGTGTGTGTGTGTGTGGGCGAGTATGCGTGTTGGCTTTGAAGACAAAGAGAGGCAAGTTCGGACGATGCAGGTAAACAGTCGATGGACGGAGAGCCCAATTGCATCCACTTTTAAACCAAAACCACACACAAGGAGAGGTTCAACCAAGCACACACAGACACAGAGACAGACACAGAGACAGACAGACATAACAGAACACAAACAGAAACACACACAAACACAGACAGAGACAGACGTGACACACCTGTTGGAGACCATAGCGTGGCGCTGAATGTGTCGCCGCTGACCGTTTCAATGTTGTGAGAACGCCGCTGCCATTGCTGCGTCTTTCGCTCTTTGTCACGCCACCACGCTTCGCTGTGTTTGTCATAGACTTTCTTCACCTTGCCATCAAACGTGGTTCCTGATTTCGTGGTGGCAAACCCTTCCTTCCCACGCAAGCCGAGGCTCTGCAGCTGCGGCAGGCTGATCTTCAGCTTCCGCTTTTGTCGTCTCCGCTGCTTCTTCACCACCGGCGCTCCATCTCCGCCTTCCTTCTTGCCTTTATCATCTGTTGTCGCAGCAGCCGGGCTCTCCTTCCCACTCGCCGCTGCCGTCTTGTTCTTCTTCTTGCTGCTGGTGCTGGTGCTGGCGGCGGCGGTGCTGCCTTCTTTGCTCGCCATTGCTTGTTCACTTCTTCAGGTTCACCGCGATTGTGGACGATTTGTGAATGGTTTCTAATAAAAATCGGACGCCAACCGGAGCCTGGTGACTGGCGACGATGCACAGGCACCCCCACAGCAACCGCGGCACTGCCACCACAACCACCTAACCAAGCCACAAGATGCGAAGAACCAAAGCAAGCAAGCGGGAAGAAACTTGGGCAGCCAGCAGCGCTGCTGCGGCTTGCTTCGGCCAAGCCACCTTTTTTAACGCTCTCCACATTCACACAAGGGCAGCGTTTGCTCTCTGAGTGGCGAAGGAGATCAAGCGCACGCAGCCACTCAGCTCTTCTACTCATCGCCGCTGCGTCAGTGAAAACCACACCCGGCATTCACATCACGCACACACGCTGTTCGCGCACACGCAAAGCACTCGCTGTTTGCGTGCACCCTGCTCGCTCACCGTCACAGCAACAAGAGCACCAGCAACGCCAGCAGCACAAGTCTGCATCTGAGGCCGAAGCAATACCAACAGCCACACACCTCTCTGGCTGGCTGTGTCCGAACGCAAGCCGATTCAACCATGAGGGTGTCGGTTTTGCGGGTGCTGAGGCATAGCTGTGCCACACTCTTCTTGATCGCGCTGCTTTCGTTTGCGCCCCCAACACCCACGCATGCTCAAACCCAAGGTACATGCGTGTTCGTATGTGTGTGTGTGTGTGTGCGTGTGTGCGAGTGTGTATGTGTTTGTGTGTGTGTGCATGGATGTGTGTTTAGACGTACGCGCACGCGTGCGTGTGTGTGTTTGTGTTTGTTTGTGTGTGTGCATGTATTGAGCACGCGTGCTTGTTCACGGCCTGACTGATGTCCATGGGTTGTGTTCATCCCTTTGACCAAGCACTTGCTGGCTTGGCATCTCTTTGTGATGAGTTTGCTCACAACATGTCCCTGCGATTGCGCCTTTCCATTTCTCCTTTGCCAAGGCTGTGTGGAGGATGTCGATGTCGTATTTATTGTCGACGTCACCCCAGCGGCAGCTACTACAGACCTCAAGGCCGCCGTTTCAGCATCTGTTCAACACATCTTTGCACAGTTTTCGTCCGCCAGGTCCGCGTCGACCGCACAGCGTCGTGTGTGTGTGTATGCGTGTGTGCGTTTTTGTCTGTGTATGCCTGTGTGTATGCCTGTGTGATGCCTGTGCGTCGTGTGTGTGTATGTATGTATATTTGTGTTTGTGCCTGTGTGTGTGCCTGTGTATGCCTGTGCGTGTTTTGTGTTTTCGTGCTCGCAGTGCCATTAGCTGTAAATACCCGGCCAGCTCACGCCACACGCGTAACATACGTATGTGTACCTGTTTTTGTGTGCATTCCAACAGGATATCCATTGCTCCAGTCTCTGACAAAGGGTATGTGCAGCTGCCTCTGGCCATGGGCGCATCCGCATCCAGCGTGCTGGCTGCCGTGGATCGACTTGACCCGTTCGGCACATCTTTCAGACCAAGTGCGTGCATATGCCCAACAGTGAGAGCAATGATGCAGAATAGTGGAGACGGAGGCTCAACGAAGGTGGCGAGGAACCTTTGTTGTGTCATGGCCCACATGAGCTGCTGCATGTGTGTAGCGTCCACGTCAACGCACATCCTCATGTTCACACACATACACACACACACACACACACACACAACACACACACACACACACACACACACACACACATAGGCGAAGCGTTGGATCTGGCACGCGAGCACTTGCAGCTGTACGGGCGCACCTCTGCTGCCCATGCTGTAGTGGCGTTTGCTGCCTCTGCTGTCAGCGATTCTTATGGTGCCGTGTACGCGGCGCGCTCCGACCTGACGGATGCGGACGTGTCCTTCACATCTGTTGCTTATCTGATCAGCACCAGCAGTCTTGGCGGCCTCTACACGCCCACGTCCATCACCGTACGCTGCTCACAGTGGCCTTTGTGTGTGTGTATGTGTGTGTATGTGTGTGTGTGTATGTGTATGTGTGTGTATGTGAATGTGTGAAAGGGTGAGAGGATGAAAGCGCAAGTGCGAGAGCAACAGGAATCGTGCACGTGATTTCGTTTGTGCTCGGTCTGCTGACGTGTTGCGTGTTCAACAGCAGCACTGCTCGATACACCTTCTTTACTCACATACGACAACTCACACAATAAAACACACACACACACACACACACACACACACACACACACACACACACACACACACACACACACACACACCACCACCACCACCACCACCACCACACTCCGCAACCACAATACTCTACGACACAACAGCTTGGTTCGTCGTCGTGGCCTGCGTCGGCGTTGCAGCAAGTGACCACCGCCGTCAGCTGCCCCCCGGTCCGCCTCAAGCCCTGCCCACCGGCCCAGGTCCACGTCGGCCTCACTTGCACCTACCTGCAGGAGGTGGCGATTGTCATCACCTCGGGGCCGCGCACTGCCAGCCTGCAGCAGCAGCTCGCCTTCACCGCCGCCATCACCAACCAGCTCCTCTCGGCACCCGGCACCCGCGTGGCCGTGTTCGCTGCCACCGCCCAAGGCCATGTCGCTCTTCACGATTTCACACATGAGCAGACACAGGCCGCTGTCACGTCCGCACTGGATGCAGCGGCGGCGCAACTTGTCGTGTCGTCTGCGCGTATCGACCTTGCCGGCGCGTTCACGGCTGTGCATGCGAGTATTGCTACCATCGGCGCCAGTGACGCGCGTGTGCTGTATGTTGCGTCTGCGGCCGTGTCTGATGTTGAAGGCGCCATCGCCGCCGCCACAGCACTCCGCCAAGCCGCGCGCGTGCATGGCGTGTACGTTGGCAAACCAACCAACCCGCCACTGCTACTCGACGTGGTGTCGCTGCCTGTTGCCTTCACGGGCTTGCAGCTTTCCACGTTTGCAGCGCTCGAAGCAGCATCGACCATTAGCCAAGCAGCGACACACGTCCTCTCCGACACACCGCCAACCACTACCACCACGACCACGACCACGACCACGACCACAATGACGAGGTCGACGGAAGAGGTCACGTCGACGGAAGAGTTCACGTCGACGGAAGAGTTCACGTCGACGGCTGAAGTGACAACGACGGGTACGACCAGCGATGGCAGCGGGTCAAGCGCGTCATCATCATGGTCCACACCAGTGGTCAGCACATCCACCTCGACCATTGCAACCACGACAACGAGTGCAGCATCGACGATGGAAGATGGAAGCGGTACAACGACAACGGCAACGACAACAACGACAACGATGACGATGACAGAGACGACGACAGCTACAACATCCTCTGCCGCGACAACGGAAGAGGGAAGTGGTGCGTCCACAACAGCAGCATCCACAACAATGTCGGTGACCACGTCGACAAATGCTGGAGAGGAAAGTGGATATACATCAGCGTACACATCGTCGTCATCGTCCACAACCACCAGCACGGCATCATCGTTCACACCTACCACAACGACGACAAGCACCAGCACAAGCGAGGAGGGGAGTGGCATGACGAGCACATCAACCACAACATCGACCTCAACGGACGACGGCAGCAGTGGTGACTCAAGCACATCGTCCACCTCGACATCAACCACACACACGTCCACATCGTCGTCCACATCGACCTCAAGCACATCATCCACGTCCACGTCCACCTCGACATCAACCACACACACGTCCACATCGTCGTCCACATCGACCTCAAGCACATCATCCACGTCCACGTCCACCTCAACATCGACCACACACACGTCCACATCGTCGTCCACATCGACCTCAAGCACATCATCCACGTCCACGTCCACCTCAACATCGACCACAACATCGACCATTGCGTGGAATGCGGTTGGGCTGCGGGAGTATGGGGTGTTCACGGCGACCGCGTCGTTCTCGGATGCACGGGCCGTGTGCGGACTGAACGAGGGCCGTCTTGTCGTTGTGTCGGCGAGTGAGATGCTTGGGGCGGTTGAGATGGCTGTGCAGGAGGCCATTGGCACTGGTTCGTCATCCATGTGGGAGGCGTGGCTTGGAGCTGAGTTTGTGAGCGGGGAGGGTGTTGTGTGGCGGGACGATGCTGACGGAGAAGGGCTGACGGGAGATGAGCTTCCGTTTTCGCAGCCCCTTCCGCAGAAGCCGACGCGTGGGCTATGCGTTGCGCTTGCAGCTGACGGGAGCGTGGTGCTTCGGTCGTGCGAGCTTGAGCTTGTGTTTGTGTGTGAGCGCGAGCTGTTCACGAGCACATCAAGCAGCACATCAAGCAGCACGTCCACATCGACCTCAAGCACATCATCCACGTCCACGTCCACCTCGACATCGACCACACACACGTCCACATCGTCGTCCACATCGACCTCAAGCACATCATCCACGTCCACGTCCACCTCGACATCGACCACACACACGTCCACATCGTCGTCCACATCGACCTCAAGCACATCGTCCACGTCCACGTCCACCTCGACATCGACCACACACACGTCCACATCGTCGTCCACATCGACCTCAAGCACATCATCCACATCCACGTCCACCTCGACATCGACCACACACACGTCCACATCGTCGTCCACATCGACCTCAAGCACATCATCCACGTCCACGTCCACCTCGACATCGACCACACACACGTCCACATCGTCGTCCACATCGACCTCAAGCACATCATCCACATCCACGTCCACCTCGACATCAACCACACACACGTCCACATCGTCGTCCACTGTCACAGCCGTCCCCACAACTGCAACCACAACATCGACCTCAACGGACGACGGCAGCAGTGGTGGCTCAAGCACATCGTCCACTTTGACCACCATCACCTCAACCACGACAACGACGACCACCATCACCAGCACGATGAGCGAGGAGAGTGGCATGTCATCCTCATCAGCAACAACCACCACAACCACCACGAGCACAGCAACAGACACGAGCGACGGCAGTGGAGATGAGTCGTCAACATCAACGCCAACGCCATTCACCAGCACGAGCACGGCCACATCAACGCCAGACGAGAGTAGTGGCGACACCACCACCACCACCACCACCACCACCACAACAACAACAACAACAACAACAACAACCACAAGCGCGATGACGACGGTGTCGACGAGCTGGAGTGGTGACATGAGTGGCCTTCTGCCGAGCTCAACATCGACGTCAACGTCAACGTCAACATCGATGTCAACATCGACGTCAACATCAGAGCCGAGCACGTCAGTGCCGGAGGAGGACCAGAGCCTGTTCTTCCGCCTGTCCAACATCCCTCGATACAGCATGTTTGTAGACCTGGCGTGGCAGACGGGACTGGCGCAGGTGCTGGACAACAAGCAGACGGTGATGACCGTGTTTCCGTTCACCAACGCCGGGTTCTCTGCAGTTGAGAGCGACGTGCTTGGGCTGGACATGATGTCGCTCACGTCGCTGATGCAGCGGCATGTGGTGATGGGCCTTCCGCTGGAGCTGCGGTTTCCGCTCTCCTTACAGCTGGGCAACCTGGACGGCGACTTGCTGTCGATTGCCGGGGCACGCGGGGTGTACACGGTGAACCGGCGCCGCGTGACGCAGCGGAACATCAACGCCATCAACGGGTTTGCGCACGGCATTGACGGCGTGCTGCTCGGCGATCTCACCACAACCACGACCACAACCACGACAACCACGACCACAACCATGACAACCACGACCACAACCACGACCACAACCACGACCACAACGACACTGTCAACGACAACAACGACGACGTTTGGTGAGAGTGGCAGTGGCGAGACCAGCACATCATCCACGACAACACCTGTGAGCACCAGCGAAGGGTTTAGCGGCGACACGTCAACGTCGACAATGGGCACGACCACCGAGTTCAGCGGCGACACCCCAACAACAGCGACGACGACGATGACAACGACAACGACGACGACGACAACGGTGGTTGGATCCGGTGATGATGGGTCTGGCGAGACGTCCACGTCCACAACATCGTCGTTGTCTACTCCAACGCCAGCAACGACAACGACGACGACGACAGCATCAACCTGGATGAGCGGTAGCGGGGACACATCGACGAGCACGAGCACAAGCGCGAGTACCAGCACGTCGATGATTACAACGACGATGGATGGTAGTGGTGAGGTGGACACGACCACAACCAGCACCACGTCAACGTCGTTCTCAACAACGTTCCCTGGCACAACGACAACGACAACGACCACTGTGCCGCCGGAGCAGCTGAGCATGCTGTATCGTCTGTCGATTGAACCCGCCTACTCGACGTTTGTGTTCCTGGCGCAGCGCACGGGCCTGGCCTCTGTGCTGGACAACAAGCAGTCCTTCCTCACCGTGTTTCCGCCCACCAACGCCGCGTTCAACAAGCTTGGGGCAGCGAATCTGGGCATTTTGTTTGACAGCCGCAACCTTGAGACGGCGCGGCTTGTTGTGCAGCGGCACATTGTGGTTGGCTTTCCGCTACAGCTGCTGTGGCCGCTATCGCTACAGGTTGCGAACGAGGCTGACGAGCTGCTGACGATTGAGGGCGGTGCCGGGGTGTACCGCGTGAACGGCCGACGGGTGGTGCGACGGAACATGCAGGCACTTAACGGGTTTGCCCATGGGCTGGAGCAGGTGATCACGGATGAGCTGCTAACAACGACGACAACGACAACGACAACGACAACCAGCACACCTCCCATGATGAGTGGCAGTGGGGAGAGCACGAGCGCGATGAGCAGCAGCAGTTCAAGCAGCACGACTTCCATGGACATTGGGAATGGCACATCGACAGTGCCGTTGAGCACTACAGGCACGTCGACGTCCACCTCGACAAACGCCAATGCAACGCGTGAGGTCTCAACGTCGACAACATCAACATCGACCGTGACTACCGTCAGCAGCAGCACAAGCAGCAGCACGTCCTCCTTCACCACGGCATCTGTGAACATGACAACAGCATCCACGTCAACGTCAACATCGTCCGCCTCATCCTCGTCGTCCTCGTCGTCATCCTCAAGTTCCAGTACAACATCCACCAGCAGCACCACCAGCAGCAGCTCAACATCCAGCACAAGCAGCAGTGCGTTCAGCACGAATGCGACGGTGAATGCCACAGTATCGACACCACTGTCGACGACCAGCACCACATCGACGTCAGTGGGACCGCACGTGACGGTGATCACACTTGAGGATCGCTCCCTCTCGTCGCTGAGCCTGACGGTGATTGCCTTTGCAGCGCTGCTGTCGATGCTGTTTGCAGTCCTGCTTGGTGTTGTGCTGGTGCGCAAGCAGCGGCAAGTGCGCCGTGCCCAGAACAGGCTGGAGGCGGCGACGGCGCAGCCAGAGGATCTGGAGTGGGACAACACCATGATCCCCGCAGGGAAGGGTGATGTGTTCACCTCGTCGTCATCATCATCGGGCACGTCTGCATCGACGCGATTCCTGCCACCGCCGCTGCCGCCGCGGCTGCCTGTTCCCGCCACAGATGTCGCTGTGTCTGGACAGGGGAGTGGGGTGTATCCCGTTGCTGTGGAGCCGCTCGGGAAGGCGCTCGATGGTGGCGGCGATGGTGGCGATGACAGCGGGCACGCTGAGGATGGCAGCAGTGGCGGTGACTCGCACCATGCGCAGTCATCGGCCGCGGCGAGCGAGGACGCATTTGGCGATGATGACGACGCGGACTTGCCGTGGTGATGTGGCACGTGCATCGATGTAGGTGTGGTGATATCACAGCCGTGCGTGCTTGATTGAATGAACCACAGTGAGAAGCCAGCAGGGACAGTGTGTTGGCTGCCCCTGTTTCCGCCTCTTCGCCAGGTGGCTTGATGATGTACATAATTAATTGATGTGTTGGCGTTGTTGCTATGGGTGGAGGGGTGCGAAGCGAGATGCGGAGTTGGTGTGCAAGGTTGTGATTGTGGTGTTTGTGGGTGTCAGGGTGGTGGCGGTTGTAACACCAGATTACGCGCCTCGTTTGTGGGCTCGCTTGCTTTGCTTGACTGCGGGTTTGGGTGACATGCATGATGTACAAGGATGGCTGGCAAGCAAGCAAGTAAACCAATGCTAGTTGAGAAAGGGAAGCGGCTACGAGCAAGCAAGAAGACGGCACAGGGGACAGAACAAGCAAAGACAAGCAAGCAAGCAAGGCGGGGGGGGGGACAAGCAAGGGTTGACAAAGGCCTGTCAAAGGACAGACGGGTGTGCGAAGATGCACACCACTCCGACACAGAGAAAGGAAGACAGAAAGAAAGACGCCTTCCTTGAGGTCACAACAAAGATGGGCGCCTTTCTCTCTCTCTTACACACACACAGACGCAGACACACACACACACAGACGCAGACACACACACACACAGACGCAGACACACACACACACACACACAGACGCACAGACGCAGACACACACAGACACACAGACGCAGACACACACACACACACAGACGCAGACACACACACACACACACAGACGCACAGACACATACACACACATGGGGACAGGGATTAGGTGGTGGCGACGCGACGCCTACGCACGGCCTTGCCGTTGCCGTTGGTTGCGTGTTCGCCGTCATCGTGAGCAGCCGCTGCGTCCGTTCCGTTGGTTGCGGGTGCCTTGACAGCCGTCTTTGCGTGGCCGTTGGTGGCAGCCTGCTGCTTGCTCTTCTTCTTGTCGTCCGCACCGTATGTCTTCTTGAAGAAGCTGGTGAAGAGCACAATCATGGTGAGGTGGTACGCAAACTGGACGTATGCGAGGTACTTCGGGTACACGGTCTCCAGCGGCGAGATGCACAGGACGGCGTGGGCAATGCACGAGTAGAACTGGAAAATCTGCCAGGAGGTGATGAGTGGCTTGAAGGGGTGGCGGATGCCGAGGGCGCTGACAAAGTAGTGGGTGTACATGAGGACGTGGGTGAAGCTGTTGATGCACGCGCCAAAGCACGCGGTGGCCCCGCCGTAGCCGAGGTAGAGGAGCAGTCCCCAGATTGGGCCGATGGTGGCGTGGTGGTATACGTGGAGGAAGGACATCTGGCGATCCTTCTTGCGCAGGGCAATGAAGATGGTGTCGAAGAAGTCGAGGAACTTGGAGAGGTAGTGGACAAGGACCCAGAACTCCGCCGCCTTGGTGAAGGTGGTGTTGAGGCCGAAGAGGTTGGGCACGCTGAAGGATGTGTTTGGAATCTGGATCGGCTCGCCCGCACGCAGTTCGTTGAACAACCCTGTCCGTTGGGTGAAATAGATGGGGAATGAGGGAAGGGACGGGGAGAGGCGGGAAAGTAGGCATGTGAATTGCGAACACGTCCAGAAGGCAAGGCATGGGACTGGAGGCTTGGAACACAAGGGTGGGCCGATCGACACGGTATGCAAGTAACACAGAGACAGAGAGAGAGAGATGCACGCAGATAACACTCACATACACACACATACACGTACACATGCACATACACACATACACGTACACATGCACATACACACATACACACATGCACATACACACACATGCATACACACATGCACATACACACACATACATACATATACGCACATACATGCACATGCGCACCTGCTGTCATGGCGGCGCAAACGACGACCTGGGCGATGTTGTAGATCATCATTGGGATCTTGAGCTCAAAGGCGGGCCTTGAGCGCATAAACTTGTACAGGCTCACAGCCACAATGACATAGATAATGCCAGACCCAATCAACACGGGCGGCTGCACCAGGTAGTCATACTCAGAGTGGTACTGCATGGTGATGGTTGTGTGGTGGAGGAGGGTGGTGGCTGCAGTGGTGTGGGTGTGGGCGGAGGAGTGTGCGCGGTGGTTGTTGGCAGAAGGCAAAACACACAACAACACGCGCCTGCAGTTTATGCTGTCGTTCACCGTTCCTCCAAGCGGGCGGACACAACACCACACCGCTCCACACACACCGCACACACAGCACACAGCAACTCAGCACACCAAGCATGTCTGAGGGAGGAGGAGGAGGAGGAGGAGGGGTTCAGGGGAAGGATCGTGTGCGACAGCTTGAGCATGACCTGACGTTGTTGAGGCAGAAAGTGAAGGATCTGGAGCGGCAGTGCGAGGAGGAGGAAGAAGCCACGGATCGCAGCAGCGCACGCATTCGGCAACTGGAGGGCGAGCGCATGGATACTATCAAGACAACCCAGCGCATTCAAGAGGTCGTCTCCGCCATGCGAACAACCGTCACAGACCTCATCAAGGAACTGGGAGGCGACATCGACTGACGCGTGCGCTGCAGTTCAGAGGTTGACACATCCACGGGCTTCACGCCAGCCTGGTCAGCACACATTGGGGGAGGGGAGCACAGAATGAGGTGTGTGCGTGCGTGTGTGTGTGCGTGCGTGCGTGTGTGTGTGTGTGTGTGTGTGTGTGTGTGTGTGTGTGTGTGTGTGTGTGTGTGTGTGTGTGTCTCGCGTTTCAGCACAACGCACAGACGGACAGGCACACAGACACATCTTGGGCGGGCAACGGACCACGGGCGGGCGGGTTGCGAGCTGCTCCGTGCTCTGTGCGAGAACGCCGGCAGGAATGTCCACATCTGACAGCTCCGAGATCTCGTCAGAGTCCCAGTCGTCAAAGCCAACGGCGCTCTGATGTGTGTGTGTGTGTACGTGCGTGCGCGCACGTGTGTGTACGTGCGTGTGTTTGTGTGCATTTTTGGGAAAATAACGAGGAGGATGAAATCAAACGTCGCGAGAATGAGAGGATTGTAGGAAGGTATGAGAATCCTCTGGCGCATGACAACTCAGACACAGATATGCATACAGACATACGCACGCACGGAGGCACTAATCACCTGTGATGGCACGACGACGGGCGCGGTTGTGCTGGTGCTCGGCTGTGCAGTGGCAGTGGTGGTGGCGGCCTGTGCAGCGGCAGTCGGTTGCTGTCCGTTGCCGTTGGCGCCATTGTCGCCGTTGTCACTGCTGTCGAAGCTGAGTGAGTGCTGCCGCACCATTGTGCTGCGTCGTCGCACGGGCGCATCCATTGCCCCAACACTCCCACTCCTCAGCACACGGCCACCGCCAACGCCGCTGTGACTGCGCTCAACAGCGCCCACGCTGCTGTCCCGCTTCGTCACCCCGCCATGACCACCACGACCATCGTGACGGCCCTTGCCCTCCTCCTCTTCATCGTCGTCGTCGTCGTCGTTCCACTCGTCACCCATGAGTGCCGTGCGGTCCTCGTGTTCACCTGCTCCCGACTCCTCATCACCCCACGACTCGCCAAGTTCCCGCTTGCTGCTGCCCGCACTTGCCGCTGCCGCTGCTGCCTTTGACTTTGCCTTTGCCTTTGCCTTTGCTGGTGCCGGTCGCGTTGTGGCGGCTGCGTCTGCAGAGAGCAGGCCGCTCACGTTCTCTGGCCGCGCCGGTTGCACGGGTGCACGCGTTGGTGTTGTTGGGCGGGGTGACGACGCAAGCTTGCGCTAACAACCGGCAGGCATGCGAGTGTTGATGTGTGAGCCAGTGTCAGCATGACGTGCAAGGATGTTGGAAGGGGGATGAAAACAAGGAGGGGGAGCACATGAACAAACACATGTGGGCATACAAGAATGCATGCGCACATGAACGCAAACACATGCAGGCAGCGCATCGTCATCGTCATCATCATCGTCACCACCATCACTGCCACCATCACGCGTGTACCCACCGTGCAGTAGTCGTCGACCTCTTCCAGGACGCGACTGCGGATATGCTCGAGATCCGGTGCTGGCGGCGGCATGTACGACAACTTGGACGTAAACTGCTCCTCACGCAGCCCGCGAGCAGCTGATGCCAGGGTGTGTGTGTGTCATGTGGTGAAGCGGAGGTTGTGCGAGGTGAGAGAGCAGTTGGAAACAGTTGGACACGGACACAGATTGATGTGTATGAGGAACAGAGACACATGCGGCACGTACAGGCTATGTCAGCAGCAACCCGACACACACACACACACACATGCATACATACATACATACATACGTACGTACGTACATACATACATACATACATACATACATACATACATACATACATACATGCATACATACATACATACATACATACATACACACATACATACATACATACATACATACATACATACATACGTACGTACGTACATACATACATACATACATACATACATACATACATACATACATACATACATGCATACATACATACATACATACATACATACATACACACATACATACATACATACATACATACATACATACATACATACATACATACATACATACGTACGTACGTACACACAACACCAACCCCCCTCCAAGCACACACAAACACACATGAGCTGAGTCCGTAGCTGTGGAGGGCCGTGTCGAGGTCCTGCAGCACCGCGTCCTTCTTGGCGTTGAGCACCTTCCACGACACGGACGTCACGTCGTCCAGGATGCCAGACGTCGCCTTCCCCCACCGCTTCTTCCGCTGCGCTGCGGCTGCTGCCGATGACGATGCTGATGGCTCAGCCCGCCGCCGCCGCCGCAGCAGCGCTGGCGATCGCGACCGTGTCGACGCCGTCTCGTCGTCCTCTTCGTCGTCGTCTTCGTCTTCGGACCGCGGTGGCTCGAGCGACTTGCTGCGCTTCTGTGATGATGGCGGTGGTGGCGATGTGGCGAGCAAAGGAGTCAACAGCAGCCCGCGATGGTCAAAACAATGAAGGCTCATGCGGACATGGCCCAAGCAAGGAAACACACACTGAAACACACACGCACACACGCACACGCACACCCACCCACACACCCACACACACATCACGTGTACCGGTGTGCCGATGCGCAGGAGGCTGCGGGAGCGGCGGAAGACGGGGGCGCGACCGAGGAAACTCAGGGACCGTTGCTTCTGCCTGAGACTCTTGCTTGGCGGCGGTGGGCGTGCCGGCTTCGACTTGCTCGTGGCCGCCTTCTTCTCCTTTGCAACAGCACCTTTCTTGTCATCGCGAGCTTTCTTTTTGCGTTTCGGTGCACTCCTATCCTCCTCTTCCTCCTCCTCTCCATCGCTTGTCATTTCTTCGTCTCGTTCCTCCTGCTCCACCTGCTTGCGTCG